CAAACCAAAACCAAAACAACCCCACTCCCTCCCTAATTTATTCCGTCACTGTTATGTTCGATAGCGTTGGACATTCTTGGCATCTTTGTGTGCCTCAATGCCACCTGGTGCTGGTGCACCCGCACCGCATGGAAACAAAAGCATCCAACTATATAAAAATACCCCAATATTTTTTCACCAGATATCAAACTATCCCCTTCATTCCCCAATTTGTCTTGTTTTCCTGTTTTTTGTTTTTTCCCTCACTTCGGAGAAGCCTCGCCTCTTCTAAAAACTCCAGATGGCACTGACGCTTGGTACTGGTGTACGTTTTTTTTTTCCGGAAACTCAGACTTTCTTGGTTCTCCTCCTCGCTCACTACATTGGAATTGACGACATCACGTCTCTGCCAGCCACCCATCAGCACAATGCCTGCGTGCTGCACGTAAATAAACTCCCACGACATGTCTCGGGATAACTCCTCCCACCCATCAAAACACGCCGCCGGATACTCAGCGAAATGCCGCACAGTGCTGGCGCTCCTGTGATGTCGACACGCCGTAGTTATCCGCAGCCCAACCAGCGGAAATTTCTCTATCCACCGGTCCCTTACATCAATCTTCTTAGGTCCGCGTTGCAATGGAAACAATCCAAACGGCTCGGTGGGATGTCCTCCGGGGTCACCCTCAGCACGGTGTTCAGTGGCTTTCGGGGTGCTGGCGGCCTCAGCTCCTTGAGTTTCTCCGCTATTTTAATGAAAAAGGCCTCATTCCTGAATGCGTCCAAAGCATATCTCTCCACAAATACAGACGCAAAGGAGCATTCTTATTCCTCGTCACTAAAAACCAAGAAACTCCTTCAAGGGGATTATCTTTTCCACAAAGGGATATGCTCGACGGCCTACATGATGAGATAATAAGTCGGTCTTAAAAGCCTCGGTACCAAATTCACCTTTTTCTCGTTTAACACACATAAGTTTGTAAAACGGATTCCCGGTACACCATGCCGTCATTCCTTCATGTTTAACGCACACTATATCATCCCGAGATTTTACCGATCTCAAGACACGATCAAGTTCATCATAGCGTTTACTGAAGTCTTTCGCATCAAAGATGTAACGCGGAATCGGTCCCAAAAAAACCATTTGCTGGCAGACCATCCACCAGTATTTTTGTTGCTCCTGTGGAGTCCCATCGCGCTTCATCCATGCGCACATCGCCTTCACATCCATCTCTTCGGGGCAATTCATGGTGATTTGGCGGGAAATTCGTTGACTCAGAAACGCACGAAAGCCCCTTACCTTTGGGGATGCCAGCACAGTCGTGCCCCATCCGGTGGGGGGCGTAAAACTTATCGGCAGCTGTGACCCATTCGTTGGCACGTCGTAGATTATATACCCTTTCATCCCACGCTGCGACAAACTCGACACAACACTCCTGGATGCTTTACTACCCACGTATTTTGTCACCATCTTGGCGGTTTTGTCGAAGACGTAGGCC